GCTCTCATCAAGCAACATGATGTTCCCAACTGAATGAGAATGCTCCATGAAGATGAATACAGCCTGAAACAATAGGTCTGAGAGAGATGAACTGCTGCATTCATCTCAGTGGGTGTTCTCATCTCTCATCATCCCAGTGCCAGACTTTGAGAGCTTGTAATTGCACCAAGCATGCCTGTTCTCAACTCCTGACCCCAGTCTCAGCACTGTGGGCTTGTTGTACACATCCAGTATGCCTATTATCAGTTCCCCACACAGAGGAAGAAGGCCCCCCAAAAATGTATAAGGGGCGGGCAGGCAGGCAGGCATGCTCAGGTCTTCCTAGCATAGCAAATCCCCCTCCACTTCATGTCTTATCAAGCATGGAAAGGCAAGAACACAGGCTTCCTAATCCTTACTAGGACACCCCACTTGCTCACACAGGGGAACAAAAAGAAAACACAGGCACCTGTAGATTCCAAGGGCATGAATGGGACCAAAGAAAAGAGATCAGGGAGGATCTCAGAGGGCCCAGCTCACAAAGGGAAGACTGAAGACATACCTTGATAGACAGGTGCTTTTTCTGTGCCTGGAGAGAGTAGGGTATAAGAATCAGCCTTGCTAACATTATACCAGTGGTGATCTGCTGAAGGAATTCTCATTTGGCCTAGCTGTGCCCAAGCATTATGAAGGCAGTAGAACTACGGCTGAGTATCTGACCCTCTGTTTTTTCAAAGCATTCTTTCTGCCAATGTGACTTCAGCCAGGTGCTCCTGATGCTGAATAATAGTGCAATGATAAGCCTATAAAATACAGTCAAATAAATTCAAAAATCACCCTTGGTATGCTTCAGGAAAGGGTAGAAATAGCATAAACTAGGGATAAGAACTGGTCATAAAATAATGGGGGGGGGAAGGGCAAACAATGTTGAGTTTGTGTGTATAAATGGAGGAAAATGAAACAGCGCCGTTCCAGAGAAGTAGCAAGTTCATACCTCAGTACCTGCTGTGGGATAAGCGCAGCGCTCAGTTCTTCAAAGACTTGTTCAGACAAGTAGCTCATTGAAGGCATTAGTGCTTTTCATAGCACTGAGGATACTCACATTAGGAATTAAATGGGGAGAGGGATGCCTACAGCATTACAGTGGGATCCCTAAAGGATGCTAGGTGAGAGTACCATTACATTTAAAATCCAAATATTATTTTGTTAAATCAGGAGGCTGCAGGCTAAGCAGAATAATTAGAAGCATGTGATGGAAAATAGGAGATGCAGCCTTTGTTCAAAGGGCTCAGTCCTATGACATGCTGAGTATTTAGGTCCCAACTCAGTAGAACACTTCAATGTGTGCTTAAGTTTAAACATGGGAGTGGTAATATTTGCATTAATGCAACCATGATATATATCTATATACATACATATATAATATATATACATATATTAGCTCACTCTCCTGTTTAGGCAAGATTATTTGGTTCATTGTACTGAAATGACTTGTATGAAATCAGAATTTCTTACATTTTGTGTGTGTGTGTGTGTGTGTATCTATCTACACACACACATATAAATAAAATGAGTCTAATGTACATTTCATTTTTATACTATTACAATCTAATAATAATTAACTGATACAGACAGGGAGAACAAGAACTATACAAATCATAAAGCCCTGTTCAGTGCTTAAAATTGTGTGCTTTATAAGTTTAAAATTAAATAGTCACAAGTGCTTTACTAGATCCATACCAAAGAGCAGGATCAGGCTCAAATAAAGTATATACTGTTGAACCAATAGCATTAGCATGTCAGTTAAAAAATCACAATCCTCCAGAGTAATTTACTATAATAGTTAAAAAGGATCAAATCACAGACCTCCACCTAGATGTGTGGTTGAGGAACATGTGATTTCATTCTGTTGTCACGTCTTCTTTTCTCTGAGCCATATAATATATTATTCTATATCTTTATAAAAATAGGTCTGAATGTCACTGGGCAATACTGAATGGTGAAATGATAAGAACAGTGGCTCCAAATCATGTAAAAACAGGAGAAGTTAATTACAGTGTTTCTCACAGATTTCATGAACCAATGGCTATTACTACAATTATTATAATTGTGAAACCTTATTTGGCTGTATAATGAAACCAGTTTAAGTGGACACCAGGGAGTGAACGTGCATAAGAATACATTGACAGTATTGAGAACACATGAGTCCTCCTGAGTCTTAGAGGATTCCATTTAGTTTGGAGTCCTGTTAAGCAAAAATATATGGCTACAGAGAACAAAAATTAAAATGGCTAAAATCCCAATAGATCTAATAGTGGAAAGTAATGATCAGATTTGTTAAGCAAGTGTGTTTTGCTTTCTAGAAGACATATACTGTCATCAAAATTAATATATTTTGAGATTTCATATAAAACCATATTAGCTTCTCCTCCCCCATCCTGTGACATTTTAATTTTTATGATTTTTTCATTCTCTTTCCATACCAACAGACTATCTCATTTTAGCAGAAAATACTGTACATATGTGACATATATAAGGACCAAACTCACTGCTATGACAGGTATTCATTATGATGAAAGGAGGAGTTCTACCCTAGTATGACTGAACCACTATGGGATTTTTCCTCATTTGAACACTCTTAGTGCTTTTTGCTCCATATCAGGAAAAAGTCCCTTCCACAAAACATTGTAATCAGAACAAGCTACAAAACTACATAAATAGAGAATGGTGCTGGAATGTTAATAAACCAATTAATCATCTCTGATTTCTGTTGGTAGATTTCAGAGATTCATTGAGAGGTATAACCAACAGTTGTTAAGCGGAATTAAGCAGGAAAATGTGTGTAGAACACTCTCCCTAATGGTAAGATACTAGGCTACAATATCCTCTCAAGTGAAGTGGTAAAAGCTTCAGTACTTGAGTATTTTAAAATGGGGCAAAACACAGCAGGAGAAAATTACTGGATAGGTAACATTCTGTCATTATTATTATTATTATTATTATTATTATTATTATTATTATTATTATTATTACAGGGCTGGATAGTGTAAGTTTTATCCATCTCTAACTCCTTTTAATCTCATCTTGCCTAGTCCTGAGCACTCCTAACTCCAACTGATTCTTTTAGGAGAGCTGAGGGCACTCAGCCCCTTCATGTTTATTCTCGTTTGTCATGAGATATAGGACGGAAAATGGTTAGTCATAAATTAAAATGCTGCATCAAAGCTAGTGAACTCAGATTTTGTCGTTTATGCTTGTTAAGTAGGTTGATATGTTTGTTACTTGGAATGTTAGTCCATGGATTGGTAGTCTCTTTGTACAACAGGTCAACTTTTATTAAAATATTAGGACATTAGGCAGAAGGAAATGATTTGGTCTGTTTATTATAATGCTATCAGTGTAGTTACAGATGTGTAGTGTACCACTGAGTTCAGGTGTCTATTAAAAACTCCTCCCTCTTATTCTCTCATTCTGTAAAAATTATTGACGATAATATAAGTTGCTTCTGCTCTGGGGATCTGTTGTTCAGTACAAGTTAAAGCACAGACATAAATAAAGTATCCATCTGTGTGTGACCCTCCCAGTATACTACATTTAAGCATTTTTGTTACTTTGGTTGATCTCCTCACTTGTGCTGTGAAAACAAGCAAAACTGGGTGCTGACTGAAGTGATATTTGTCATGTAATCCAGCATTTTTCAGCCCATAGGTCATGACCCAAAAGTGGGTTGCAAGAAAATATGAAAGGGTCGTGACCAAACTTTTAAAAATGGATCAACAAACTTAAAAAATGGATTCTCTTTTAAAGGAGAAAAACGTAGGAAACCCTGGCTTTTCCCTTGCAGGCTGGCAGAGTTCCAGATTGCAAGGCGCTGCTTGGGACCCCCCGCCCAACACACCTACCCCTGCCCCATATACTAGGGAGCTGGGGAGGGGGAGCAGTGGGTAGGGAGTGAGGGGCACTGGGTTGAGACTAGCCATTGAAGTTTACAGATGGGTCCTGGTATAAAAAAGGTTGAGAACTACTGGTGTAATCGACCCCTTGAAATCATTCTATAGCCATGCCCTGACAAAACTGCACAGCTGCAGAGCACTTTAAAAGTGCCTGATCACACAACAAATTAACCATCATGTAATGAGGGTTCAGATGATGGCACTCCACAGCGGAGTGCCTTCATTAACTTCTGTCTGTCCAAGTGTGCAATGCAGCCCAGCTCTGCCCCCAGTGTTGTCTGCACAAAAGGAGAGGCAGAAGCAAAGAGGAGGAAGCTCCAGGCTGGGTTTTGCCCAACCTGAGCTGGAGGCAGGGGGAAAATGGATTGGAGCCCCCCACCTCAGAGGGTCTCCAATCCATATGCCCCCCTCCAGCTCAGGCTGAGTAAAACGCAGCCCAGAGTTCCCTCTCCCTCCCTTTTCCCCCTCCCATCCTGCAGATAGCAGCAGAGCTGGGAGGGAGTTAGCAGGGTTAGGGGAAAGGGGCCACAGCAGGCAGCTCCTCCTGGATTGGCTCCAAAGTGGAGCTCAATCCCTCACCCCCCTGACTCAACAGTGAACATATGTTGGGTTGGAGGGGGGGAGGGGTCACTCTGAATCTTGGTGCTTTCTGTGAAGGGCCATGAGTTAAGAGCAGGACTGCATGTCTGTCAGTGTCCTCAGTGGAAAGCTTTCATTGTAATGGGAACATCCCTTTTTAAATGAAACTGCCTGTGCCAGCACCTTTGCCTCTTTTGAATTTGGGCTACTTCCCATTGCTCATATTTTCCCCTTGCCCCACTCCAACATGAAGGTGGGTTTATTTAACACCCTGGGGGAAATAATGTTCAATCAAAAGGACAGGGCTTCCACAACCACTTTCACACTCTTGCATTGACCCTCAGTATCCTGTGGGAGATGTGTATTAGAAATGGAATGGAAAGATGTAGGAAGGGCTCTTCTTTGATGACTACTCCTCTTGGGATCGGAGGGGCAAGGAAGGCTTATATCTTCTTATATATTCTGGATTTTGTTTTTGTTTTTTTATAGCAATGGTTCAGCTACATCAGAAGATCTCTTTTGGAAACTGGATGCACTGCAGATGTTTGTTTTTGACCTACACTGGCCAGAACCAGAATTTGCACATCATTTAGAGCAAAGACTTAAACTTATGGCCACTGATATGATAGAAGCTTGTGTCAAAAGGTACAGTTATATTTTTGCAATTGTCTGTTAAAAGTTGTAACAGATTTGTAAATTAGCCTCCAGGAAGCCATAATCAAAATGTCTAGGTATCTTGTCAAAATCCCCATGAAAGTTAATAAATAAGCAAAATATTCTTACTTTGATTCTATATTTATAATGTAATTATTTATATATTACTCTTTTCAAGTCACTTTTGATGTATTCTTTCTTCTTTCTCCATATCTCCTTAATTTTTCTTGTTTCTTCTATCATTTTCATCTTAAGTTAATAGTGGTATTAATTCACTATGTAATTATTTTAGAGTAGTCTGTAAGAAAGATGTTATATACCAAATAAAGGTGTAAAGTGTGTTGTACTTACAATACAAGATAGATATGATTGATTCATCTGAGGTTTCTAAAGCCAAGCTCTTGGGAAATACAGAATGGGCAATAGCCTATTGCTGCTCTTTTATATCAAACACTATCTTGAATTACCAGCACAGTCATTAGAACAAAGAGTGAATCCCAGTAAGATTACCACTCCCCACGGGTGCCTATAGACATGCTTGTTTACATGCTAATTACAAAGTATCAGAGCAGACTTGATTAATAGAGTCTGTTCTGTGTTTTAGTTAAAACACTTCAGCGTCACTATACCATCACATGTATTAAGTCCCTGCACATTTCAAACCAATCGCAGGGGCACTTTATCTAATCCCGTTGGAAGAGTTTTAGAAAGAATGCCCCATGGCCGTTTTGAAATCCTGTAGGGCTTAATATATGTGATAGTGAGCTGTTTTAATTAAAGCAGCTGTCCAGGAACCACTTTAATTAAAGTACCACCCTCCCACCCCCCACACTCCTCCCCCTTTCTGCTGCCCCTGAGCATGTTTATAGGCAGCCCAAATGTCCATATATATTCATGGCATCACTAAATTTAACAGAAATTGTATAAAAATCAATGTTGTTTGAGGTTATCCTACTGGGTACCTAAAAAGTCATGATTATACAAACCTGGAAAAACCTGTTTACCATCCCGATTAAAAGATGTGAAACAGCAATAAAACATAATCAGTATATAAATAGTAAGAAAAAGGAAATAAATGGCAATTATTATAAATTACAAGTTTAAAAAATATAGACAACTTATAATGGGAACTTTAAAAAAGTCAATAAAATATCAATGACCAATGCAATAAGGCAGATTTTTTTAACATATTAGCAAGAAAAAAATCCCTAGGCCAGGTATAAGTCCATTGGTGGATATGGATAATCTAATCATAAATGATGTATTTTGAATGAAGCAGGAAGATGTATACATCTTATGTGATGCTGTGGGTGGAACAGAAAGTTCAACATCTTTAGCAAAAGAAGATAAGCAGCAGCATCTGCCAAAATTAAATATTTTCGTATCAACCGGCTCAGGTAATCTACACTCTTGTATCTCAAGAGAATTAGCTCAGGAGCATTATGCATTACTAATATTAATTTTTATAAAATATTGGAATCCTGGGCAAACTCCAGGTTGGAGGACTGCCAAAATAATCCTACTTTTTTAGCAATAGTAAGCAGGATGATCCCCAGAGGGGTTAATGGACCGGGTATCCTGACATGAATCCTAGGCAAAATAATGGAATAGTTAGTTTGGAACTCTATTACAAAAATTAGAAAGTAAAATCATAATTGATATCAGTTACCATAATTTCATGGAAGGTAAATCTTCTCAGACCAAATCGGGGATCTTTTTAGCTGTAGCTAAAAAGCTTGATTCTCAAATGTATAAAAAGAATAAAGTATATCAATAGAAATAAAGAATTGATACCCCTACAAAAACTGGTACCACAATTTTGATGTCCATATTTCAAAAAAGATGCTCAAGGAAGAAGACAGAAATTATCTAAGGTTTGAAAAAAGACACTATTTGATGGGAGACTTAAACAGTTCAAGCTAGTCTGTTTTACCAACAAGAAGGCTGAGAGGTGATTTAATTAATGTGCACAGGGTATGGAAAAGAGATCTGATGATTGCAGGATTTTTTTAAGTCAAAACAAGGTCAGAGGGTTTTGAGGAGAATCTTTTTGAGGCTGTTAGCTTGACATGTGCAAATGAAATGAGACTTGTTTTTTTCCTACAAGTTTGGATGCTGGATACCTCATTTGTTTTACATGTTTATAATATGAGTCTTACTCTGATCTTTCACTGAATTTATGCTGATGCAACATAACTGACATCAGTGACATTACTCCTCATTTACAGCAGTGTGCGATCAGATTCAAGGGGGTTTTTTGTACTTTGCATCTATCTTCGTTTTAGGAAGAAGGGAAATAATTTAATTCACTTTTATGCAAATGTCATTTTTTTAAAACTGTAAAAGGTGTGCATCATAAGTGAATCCATGGTATGATAATGAGAAGTTGGGTTTTAACACAAAAGCCAAATATTTCTTTAAGATTTTCATTTTTACTGCTTGAAAATTATCCACAGCTGATGTATTAGGAAGCTTATTGTTAATTAATAGGCAAAACCATAATACATTTATTGTTTAACTAAATCAGCTAAATCAATGCAGAACCTTGAGGCTACCGGCACTGCGATGTTCTACTGAACAGGTAGCTATCTTACACTACTGCATATAGAATTATGTTCATAAACACTTCCACTCTGATGCTCACACACTTAAGATTAAAATTAATACATTTAGAGAAGTGGTCTTATGCATCAGTTGCTTTGAATTATGACAGATTTTCATGTTATGAATTAATGTTTTTAATAAATAGAACAAGAGTTGCTTTTGAACTGAAGCTGCAAAAGACAAACAAATCAACAGACTTGCGCATTCCTGCTTCTCTGTGTACAATGTTTAATGTATTAGTTGATGCCAAAAAACAAACTGCTAAACTCTGCATTTTGGATGGAGGGCAAGAGGTAGGTGGAATTGTAGGTATTTAATTCTATTATTAGGTAATCAGAAGTGTCTAATGCTGTGGGCAGTCATTGCTACATTAGTTTAGAAGCAAGTTTGTTTTATTAATATACTTGGGGATCTGAAATGTGTTAAGCAGCTTTTATTTTTGGTGGGTGCTCACTAAGCATCACTAAAGGTACAGACTGCCCCCCATCTCTGCACTCTAATGGCCAGTATAGAGCCCATAACTCCTGTGTGCTCTGGGGAACTTGGAGAAGATTTTGCTTCTTCAAGTATGATAAACTAATCAGGTATAATCCCTCCCAGAACTTCTCCTACATTGAAGCTAGCGAATATCCCATATTAGGACTACGTCTTAATAATATGATTGAGCCAAAACATCAATCCTTTTCTTTGGACTAGATTTATATCTTATTGTCTGCCACTGGAATAGGTACATATGCACATAAATCATAATCAGGAGAAGATAATCAAGTAAAAGTGATAAAATGTAATTTTGCTTTTCCAGAATCATTTTAGAGGTCATCTTTGAGATGCTCTACAGACAGGGCTATAGAGAGCTATTGCAAGATGAGGAGATACTCCATGCTATACATGATATGGGAGGTTAATATACAACTTTAATTAGCTACCGCCCTACATTCTCTTGGTCAAAAAATACCACAGCTCTGGGCAGGAAAAAGCTGTGCGGTTGGAGAGGAGACAATTGCAGTTTTCAGGAAGGCAGAATAATGGGGTGTAATTAATGCTGCTTTACAAGATTAACGTGTGATGGTGATTGCTGTGTAATTTGGTTTGATTTGTTTTTTTGGGGGAAGAGAAACAAGGTGCCAGAATTTGACCAAAATAAATTCCTGCTTTTTGTAGAAATATATTTATATATCATACCATTGTTACAGGCAGTTTTACTTTTGTTTTATTTAGCTATACCTTTTCTGTCGATTGCCTGTTCATGTTCTCTTGATAGTTATGCTCTTCATTTCATTAGCTTATCTATTTCAGTTAGCATTTTAAGTATTACGTTTTTTATGTTGATTTAAGTGTTCATTGTTCTCTTGTTCTTTGCCATGCCATCTGATTTTTCTTCTTTTAATTTCATATGACATGATCCAGTTTGCTAGTCAGTGGGTAAGTGCCTTTTGTTGTAATAAGCTGCATTGTCTTCACTAATTTTCAGTATTTGGGGCAAATTGTAAATTGTGCTGCTGTGTTTGCCAATTCAGCAACCTAGACCTGGGATTTCCTCTTGTTTAAATTTACTAGACATCTTCCAAATTTGTCTTATCCATACTCAGCATGAGTCAGGCTGGTTAGAGAAATATCTCCTGTTTACCTCAACACCTCCTGCAGCAGCAAGCAAGCAAACAAACAGGAAGTAACCCCACTATGGTTTGGCAGAGGTACCCTAACTTGCTTGCTCTGGTACCACAGTTGTGATAATCCTTTTGCTCCTCTTTAGGACTGAGTGGGTCAGACAATTTTGAAATCTCCATAACCTATCAGGGGAGGCAAAAAAACCCCACCTCATAATAAAGCCCATCACAACAGCAGCAGACCTAGAACTCTATACCTCAGGCTGCCTTTGCAAGTTTATGCCCTACCTCTACTTATTGTTCAAGCAGTGTACTGGAAATAGGCAAGTCCCATTGAGGGAAGGGATCATTCCTGTGAAGATTTATCACACAGAAGATGAACAGCCACACTCTCTCCTCTTACTTTCCCAGGGACGTCACATGTAAAGGGGTCTACCTGGACCATCTTCAGAAAATTTTTTACATTGCTGTCATGGGAATGCAGAGTTCTCTAGAAAAACATTTCTCAACCCGTAGGTCACAACCCCAAAGTGCGTCACAAGAATATAAGAAAGTGTCGCAAACAAACTTTAAAAATGGTTTCTCCTTTAAAGGAGAAAAATGTGGGAAGCCATGGATTTCCTCTTGCAGGCTGGCAGAGTTCCAGCCTGCAAGGGGCCGCTTGGGGCTGGGGGAAGCAGGAGGAGGGTGATCAGGCAGGGGGCACCATGTACACATGCACACAGTGTGGAGAATAGCTCCCACAGCTCCCTGTAAGTAAGTCTATGGGGTGAGGGGAGGAAGAGGTGGGCATAGAGGACTTGGCAGAGGGGACCAGGCAACACTGCCCACCACCCCACCTCTTCTCTGGGGTAGAGCAGCAGCAGTGGAGTGCCTGAGGGGAGCGGCGGTGGTGGCTGCTGGGCAATGGCAGCAGGATAGAGCCATAGTGCATAAGCAGCTGGTAGCAGGAGAAAGTGAAGGCAGTGCAGCCTCCCCCCAGCCTGTCCGTTACTTCTCACGCTGTGGGCAGCATGGCTGGCATGGGGGTTCTGGTAGCATTGGCAACAATGAGTCACTGTCCTGCTCTACATTCCCGCTCCAAGTCCTGCCCACTGGACTGCAGAGGTGGGCAGCCCTGTGCCCTCTGGTGTACAAATCTGGGGGGCATGTGCTCCCCCCTGCCCCACATACCCATCCCCTGCCCCACACACTAAGAAGCTGGGCGCTGGGGATGGGGGGTAGTGTGTTGGGAGCGAGAGGTAATTTCCACTCTCAACATAATCTGAGGAATGAATCTCACCTGATATCAAAATTTCACCCTGTAATTCTTCTGGTACAGTCTACATTTAATTCTAAATTCCCTTACTTTCTCTCCTTCAGACACATGGCCATTGTTGGGTTTTCTTCTCATTGTGATTACGTCAGACAGATAAACTGGAATCATCCAAGCTCTGTATTATGAACAACCTTTTCAATTTGTTATAAAATAGATGCATTATTCAGAATAATCTCAAAAAATCTCCCACCAAAGAAACTCTTTGCCAAAGCAAGAGAATTTATTCACTGACTATGTCCTAGAATTCCAGGAGAAGTTTAGAATGGATTGGATGTGGCCAAAACACTTATATTCTTTTTAAATTGAAATTTTCTCATTAGACCATCAGATGCCATATTCATAGAATCATAGAAGTAGGGTCGGAAGGGACCTTATAGATCTTCAAATCCGACCCCCTGCCAGGGCAGGAGAAAAAACTGGGCTCAAATGATCCCAGCCAGGTAGGCATCAAGCCTCCTTTTAAAGACCCCCAAGGTAGGAGCCAGCACCACTTCCCTTGGCAGTTGGTT